TGTGATCTCTGTCTGTCAAATAAATAAATAAAATCTTTAAAAAAATAAAAAAATAAAAAAAAATAAAGCTTCCATGATTGTATTTTTCCTGCAAAGCTGCTATAAGGCATAGGGATAAAGTTCATAAGGGGTTTAGCAGCAGCTAACATACAGCAGACTAACATACAGCTTAATAATCAATATTCTTATTAGAATGAATCAACAATATGCACCAAGAGAAATATTCTTCCATTTCCCATAAGCTCTGTAAGCACAATTCATTCCTGTAACTTTAGGTCATAAGCAGAGAACACGGAGATAAGCTAACACAGAGATTTACTATGTGCCCAGGGACACAAGGAAGATGAACTGTGTTGGTCCCTTACCCAAGAGCAGCACTGAACGGCCAGCCCAAGATAGCCCCAGCGGCTACTCCAAGCACAGCAACTGAAGTCTTGTCCATATACCAGCCGGTCACGGCTACCAACGTGGTGTACATACAGAAGCTGCTAGGAAGGAATGCTGCAAAAGGAAAGAAACGAGGAACACAAAGAAGGAGGAGGGGGATCAGAGTTTGAGGTTTATTAGGTGTTACTAAAAATTTATACACATTACATGATACCAATAACCAGGAACATATTTTGAGAAACAATATATTAGAATTGTGCAGTGAAGTCATACTCCTTAAAAAAAAATAAAAAATGAAGTTCAATGATTTTTCTCACTCTTGTTTTTTTATGGTACCAATACACCCCTAGTTAAAAGCCAAGCACACCATTCCTCTCCTGGCCAGTACCCTAAGTCCAAAACTTAGAGAATTCCAGGTTATATTTCCAGACAGGGAATAATGCTGCAAGAAACTTGGAGCCATTGCTGACTATTTCTGAAGCAGTTTATCTTCTGATAGTTTTCAGAGACTGTCCTGACACTAACCTTTACCCCCTAGGAATTCTGGAGAGCCGTCTCAAGGGCCAAATATTGGATAGCAATGCTGCTTTGCATCCTGCATGGACGGGCATAGATAGTTCGGGCTGTGAAAGTCCCTTAGTTACTTCCATCTAGCATCACTCTGTTGTAGTAAACAGCAGAGGCTGAGTGCTTTCAGGGTCTCTGTGACAGTAACATGCAATTCATGTTTCTAACAACTCTATACAAAAATGCAGATCTGCCTCTCCAGGCTGCAGAAGCTGACCTCGCCTAGAGCACTAGGGAAGAAAGAGCGGCACAAGGCCACAAGGCCAGCACCACAATCAGGCCATGTGATCTCCCAAACTCAGGAAAGGCTTTAGAGGCTGTGTATCAAAGGGTGCCTTGAACTTCTCTGGGCCTTCTCGTTCTTGCTGGGATGGCAAAGCTAAAGGTACTCCTGAATATCTCCCTCTTGTAAGAATCCACTTCAGGAGTAGCAAAGTAACCAAAAAACAGGAGGTAAAAGCTTCACAGATAAATGCTCTATAATACTGATGCTCTCTGCAAAGTTGTCAGTTACAGCCACCAATGCAGTGGACAAGGGAGCAGAGGAATTGGAGGTCTCTGCTGGCCTGGAAGGGACAGCACGGTCTCCCTGAGGACTGTGACTCTCATAAGGTCTCTGCACAACCACACAGATTTTGATATTGTCAATGAAGTTAAATGTACACTTTTGTGCTGGATACGATTCTTGTGTATATTTTCTGTGTATACTAGATTCTGGTACACACAAACAGAAATTAAAACTGAGATAATTATATCTAGTAGCTTAATTTTTGCAGAGAAGTGGAAACAGGCTACCTTTTGGCAGTAGGCCACCATGACTCAGAGAACAGAAATGTGCAACAGCAGCACGGCTCGCAAGCCACCACTCTAAGGTTGTATCCTCATTCTCTTTAAGGATACTATTTAAAAAAAAAAAAGAAAAAAAGGCCCAGAGGATGCATACCTTTATAGAACACATTGCAAATAATGGGCAGAAAGTAGAACCACAAAGAACAGGGGTTTTAGACATAAAAAAGAGCAAAATAACAAAATTGTTTTTTCTTCCTCTAACAGCAAGAAAAGGCAGAAAGTGCTAAATTCTTTTAGTCTGGTTTAAAAAAAAAAAAAAATACAGGGGTGCCTGGGTGGCTCCGTGGGTTAAGCGTCTGCCTTCAGCTCAGGTCATGATCTCAGGGTCCTGGGATCGAGTCCTGCATCGGGCTCTCTGCTCAGTCAGGAGCCTGCTTCTCCCTCTCTCTCTGCCTGCCTCTCTGCCTACTTGTGATCTCTATCAAATAAATAAATAAAATCTTTAAAAAAAATTTTAATACAATAATATAATAGAAAGCTCTACTACTTAGGAGTTCTCTGACTCCCAGTAAGTCATTTCACCTTTCTCAATCTCCATGTCCTCATCTGCAAAAATGAGAAAGTATTGGTCTTACCCCTAACACAAAACTGCTGTAAGGACTGATGGAGATCATGCAGGAAACAGTGCTCTGCAGATTACTGATATTCTATCTAAACATAATCTATGCCGACACAAGTTCTTCCTTTCAATGTAACTGTGAAAGTTCAGTGTACCGTTATGCCTTCACCTGCCCTTTTACTTACCTGATGAGGAACAAAACATGCCAGTGCTAAGAACCAAGAAGGCCAGCATCATTCGACTTACATGCAGCCCAAATTTCTTGCACACAGCCCTAGAAGAAAGGCAAAGACCATCAGCATAGTCAATCTTAAGGACAGACATTTCAAATCAAAGGAAAAAACATGCCCCCTTCACAGAGAACACTCAGGATCTAAAGTCAAACACAAAACTGCCTGGACAGGTTTGTTAGCAATTCTGTGTGCAAAACAAACCCAAACATAGTTACTCTTCAAGCAGAAGAAAAACTCTAAGAGGATATGATATCTTTTCCGTGCTAAGATCACGTACACTATCAACAGGAAAACAGCACGATGTAGTGGAAAAGTAACAGGCCTCAGATTCAGATGGGCACAGGCTCAAATTTGGGCTCTGCCACTTACTAGCAGCAGTACCCTGGTCTGGTGACAAAATCCCTGTGTCGGAATCCTCACCCGCCAAGTGAGGATAGTAAGAATGCCTATTTGGTCACACTTCTGTGAGGACAATGCATGGGAAAGTGCTCAGAACTGTCTGGAACAGAATCGCTCAATAAATAGTAGTCACAAGACAAAAAGGCGAGGAGACACACGAAGGGTTAATAAGAAGTTGTCTAAGTCCACATTTCTCAAACCCAAGGAATGACCGACTTCTCTACTTCATTCTTGGAGGTTTTTAACCCCATTAACATTCTTAGGAATGATTACCGCTTCATTTAGTCCACAGTTGTGCAGACATACCCCTGGGTTAACTGTCGGCTAGCTAAGGTTCCTCAGTGCATCTCAGAGCTGCTTCCTGAATTTTGCTTCTTCCAAAGTATATCCTTCGTAAGTTCGTTTAGGGAGGATCTGTTAATGGCAAATTCCCTTTTTTGTTTTTTTTTTTTTTGTCTGAAAAGCCTTACTAAGCTCCTGGTCTTAAAAGATGGCGTAGCTGAGTACACAATTTTAAGAGGACAATCATTTTCTCTGAGTACTGTGAAGTTTTTTTTTTATCTTCTGGCTTTTGAGAAGGCTTCCGTCAATCTAACATCCCTTCGTAGCTATTCTATTAGTTCCGTCAACTTTTAAGATCTTCTTTGCCCTTGGTGTTTTACGTGGTTCACTACTTGCTTATTTTTCCAGCTCAGGATATGTTAGGTTCCCTGAATCTATGAATTAGCATCTTTTTTTTCCATCAATTGTGGAAATTCTTAGGTATTACTTCCCTAAATACTGTCTCTCTCCACTCTATCATCTCCTAGAATCTGACTGAATCTGTCAATACGGGTTTAACATCTTTATATTTCCCTTACATTTCCCTTCTGTTTCCTTTCTGTCACTCTGTTCTTCATTCCTACTGAGCTCTTCAGATCAAGCTTCTAGTTTGTTAGTGTCTAGCCATTCAAATTAACCACTGCGTGTTAAACATCAATTCTGCTTTCATTCCTAGAAGTTCTGTGTGGTTCTTTCTCAGATCTGCTCGCTTATCTTCATAGTCTCATTCCTTATTTTTCTTTTATCTTCTTTATTGTATTGTGGTAAGAACAGGTAATCAGGGGTCTACCTTAACAGATTTTTAAGCATACGATACAGTACTGTTATCTGCACCATGTCGTACGATAGCTCTCTAGACTTATTCATCTAACACAACTGAAATTTTATACCCACTGATTAGCAACTTCCCATTTCCCCCTCTACCCAGCCCGACAATCACCAACCAGTGCTTTGCTTCCACGAGTCTGACTATTTTAGAGTCCCATAGGTGGAATCAGTGGTGGTTGTCCATCTGTTACTGGGTAGCTCACTTAGCACAACATCCTCAAGGTTCGTGCATGTTGTCACACACTGCAGGATTTCCTTCTTTTTCAAGACTGAATATCCCCTTCTAGGCATATACCCCATTTTCCCCCATTTATCGGTCAATGGACACTAAAGTTGTCGGTATTGGTCACAATAATCTTGGTTATTGTGAAAAATGTTACAAAGAACATGGAAGTGCAGATACCTCTTCAAGATCCTGTTTTAATTCTTTTAGATAAATACCTAGAAGTTGATTACTGGATCATATGGTAGTTCTATTCTTAGTTTTTTGAGGAACCTCCATACAATTTTGTACAGTGGCTATACCATTTGGCATTCCCACCGACAGGGCACAAAGGTTCCAATCCTACATCCTTGCCAACACCAATTTGTGGTTTGGGTGGGGGGCTTTACAATAGCCATTTTAACAAGTATAAAGTTATAGCTCACTGCGGTTTTGATTTGCATTTCCCTGAAATACAGTAACACTGTATATCTTTTCAAATACCTGCTGGCTAAGTGTATAGCATCTTTAAAGAAGTGTCTATTGAAGTTCTTAGTCCATTTTTAATCAGATTAATGGGGTTTTTTGGTATTGAGTTGTAGGAGTTCCTTATATATTTTGGAATTGAACCTCTTTTCAGATTATGGTTTGTAAATATTTCATTACATTCTCTAACTTCCTTTTCACTCTACGGATTATTTATATTCTTGTTTCTTATTCATGTTTTCAAATTCCTTTTTCATTTAGAAATATCAAATATATTTATGTTCTTATTTTAGTAATTCCTAATCAACAAAGTCTTCCAGGTCAGTTTTCTGTTATTATTGCTGTTGGTTCTCATGTACAACAACTTGTTCGCTTCTGTACTTTGTGATTATTTTGAGATTTATTTTTTTTAAAGATTTTATTTATTTATTTGTAAGAGAGAGAGAGAGGGAGAGAGAGCGAGCACAGGCAGACAGAATGGCAGGCAGAGGCAGAGGGAGAAGCAGGCTCCCTGACAAGCAAGGAGCCCGATGTGGGGCTCGATCCCAGGACGCTGGGATCATGACCTGAGCCGAAGGCAGCTGCTTAACCAACTGAGCCACCCAGGCGTCCCTGTTTTGAGATTTTTATTATAATTTCTTGTTCACTAGAACTTTATTTGTAGTAATTCTTTGACACCTGGGTTAAAGATCCATTTCTCTGGAGAAGCTTCCCCTTTTGCTTTTGCAAGATACCTATGGGCACTGCCAACCCAGAACAATTTAAATAAATTCTCAACTTGGGATTTCGGGGGATCATGTAAGGTGACGTTCACTCAGTCCTTAACCAATGTGAAGACCAATATATGGTTACAATCCTTAAAGACAGCACTAGCTTGCTTCCTTCTCTGTGCCACACAGAGTCAAGGCCAAAGGATTTCTGTGTCTGACATTTTTAACTGTTTTCTAGTGGGGATATTTTTAATAATAATCATTATGTCTAAATACCTTTTAAAGCGCTAACATGTTAGGTTGCACGTAAAAAAAAAAGTGGCTTTTATTACTGCAACACTTAAATGCTTAATACTTCCACTAATATTCAATCAACCGATAGGTACTTGGTGAAAGACAACGTACTGGGTGCAAGTAAGAGCAGTCAGTCCCACACGGGAATAATCTCCTATCACCTAAGCTCAAGGGGAAGAGGTAAATCATGATTCTGCATCTTGCAACCAAAATTAAGGCTCTACTAAATCCTACCACATGAAACACCAGTCACCCATGTATTATCTTTACATGAAGATATGAAACTTAACACACCTCAGGAAGGAAAGTGATAATTAGAAGTTTTCCCCTCCAACAGTGTTTCAAAACACCAAGTCCCACTTCTTTCCTCAACAAATTAAAAATATAATTACCATATAATCCAGCAATCCTGCTTCAGGGTACACATCCTAAGGACATGAAATCACTATCTCAAAGGGATAGCTGTAGGCCCATGCTTACTGTAGTACTATGCGTAATAGCCGAGACACAGAAACAACCTAAATGTCCACCTATGAATGAGCGGATAAAGAAAATGTGGTATACATGTACAGCAGAATATTATTCAGTCATAAATTTAAAAAGGAAATCCTACCACTTGCAACACGTGGATGGACCTTGAGGGCATTATGCTAAGTGAAATGTCAGACAGTGAAAGACAAATCCTGTATCATCTCACATGTGGAATCTAAAAAAAGGCAACCTTGCAGAAACAGAATAGAATGGTGGTTGCCAGGGGCTGGGGAAGCAGAGGGTAGGGAGGAGACAGAAGATTAGGAGATGGTGGCCAAAGCATATAAACTTCCAGTTAGAAGATGAGTTAGTTCTGGGGAATCTAGTATACAGCATAGTGACTATAATTAACAATACAATATTAATATACTTGAAAATTGCTAATAGAGAAAATCTTAGAATGTTCTCTCCACACACAAAGTGGGAAGTGATGGATGTGTTAACTAACCTTACTGTGGTCTTCATGACATATGCATTTATCAAATAATCATGCTGTACATCTTAAATTCACACAGTATTATTTCAATTATATGTCAATAAAGCAAGAAAAAAAATTTTAAGTCCTACTTTTTAAGATTTTTAAAGATTTTTTTATTTGACAGAGAGACACAGCCAGATAGGGAACACAAGCAGGGGGAGTCGGAGAAGGAGAAGCAGGCTTCCTGCTGAGCAGGGAGCCCAATATGGGGCTCAATCCCAGGACCCCGGGACCAGGGCCCGAGCCAAAGGCAGACATTTAACAACTGAGCCACCCAGGCACCCCTTAAGTCCTACCTCAAATACAGTATTAGGAGCTAGGAGGAAGTGTTTTCTATTAGATTTTATAAACACTGCTTATGATCAGAAAAAAAAATCTTATGCTATATTGGGCTTCCATCATAGCACTTTTAGAAGCAAAGTTTTATACTCACTTGTAAAAGTAAAGTTCACAGATACAGCTCACAAAAGCCAGGAGACATCGTAAAAAGTAGAAGACAAGAATCTGAAAGAAACCCAGAACAAGAAAACAGAAGTCACAGAAACAAAACTCTTAAAGAGGAAACCACTTCCATTTGTCATTCGTAACACTGAACTGGCATAATCCTTTTGAAAAGCAGCATGTATCAAGGACCATACATGTATTCCTACCCCTAGACCAAGTACACCCATTTCTACAAGACCAGCTCGCAGAAGTAACTCGGACTAAGCAGGGAATGTTAGTTCTACTCATGAAAATGGTAAGTGCGGCAGTATTACATTAGGAAAAAACTGCTTAAAAAAACTATACAATGTCCAATGATGGGGAAATGGTCCGATCAATTATGTATATGTATTTCATGGACTATTACACAGATCTTAAAATTCACAATTACAGCAACAGTGGAATAATTCATATAAAACTCATATATTCAACAAATATTACCTAAACAACCATAATATATTGATAATGACAGATAGTTACTCAATACTAGGTAAAAATACACAATATATTATTTTATACATCAGAATTATAGCTTTGGAAATCAGAAGCATAGGAGATGACTGAAAAGAAATGTAGTGAAATGGTTAAGGTGGCTGTATCAGGCTGCTGGGACTTAGGTGTATACCTTCTCTCCTGTCTTCCAAACACATGTAATGTGATTAATTTCATAATTAAGAACATCAACTTAAAAAACAGTAACAGGGGTTATATTTAATAGTTTTCATACTATAGTGCACTGGTATATTTAAGAGCATTGAGTACTTCAGAATGTAAGCACTACTTAAATATATATCATGATTAAGATTACTGCATGTAACTTAGGAATACTTCACATTTTCAACACCATAAACAAAATATTCCAAAGAGAGCTCAATAAACCAATCCATTAAATGCCAGATTCATTCATTACTTCAATAAAAACATACTGAAAGCCTAATATACACTGAGCACTATTCTAGATGCTGCTGGGAATTCAGATAATTTTAGTACAAAGTATCTATACATGTAAGGACCCCTCATCTAATTAAGTATAAAACATTTGGAAAGTTAAAAATTAGGCGCACCTGGCTGGTTCAATCAGAAGAGCAGGTGTCTCTTGGTCTTGGGGTTGTAAGTTCGAGCCCCACATAGGGTATAGAGATTACTTAAAAATAAAATCTTTAGGGGCACCTGGGTGGCTCAGTGGGTTAAAGCCTCTGCTTTCAGCTCGGGTCGTGGTCCCAGGGTCCTGGGATCGAGCCCTGCATTGGGCTCTCTGTTCAGCAGGGAGCTGCTTCCCCCCTCTCTCTGTCTGCCTCTCTGCCTTTTGATCTCTCTCTGTCAAATAAATAAAATCTTTAAAAAAATAAATAAATAAAAATAAAATAAAATCTTTAACTTTAAGATTTTATTTATTTGGGGGCGACTGAGTGGCTCAGTGGGTTAAGTCTCTACCTTCAGCTCAGGTCATAGTCTCAGGGTTCTGGGATCGAGCCCAGATTTAGATTAAGATTAAAATACAAAAATCAGTTGTATTCCTATCAGCAATGACCACCAAAAAACCCAGCAAAACAAGATTCCTTTCATAACAGCAACAAAAAAGTATGAAGAATGTAGGCATTAAGCTTCCCAAAACTTGGTAAGACTGAAATGGGTACATTTACAAATTTTATTAAAGGATACAGAAAACCTGACTAATTAGATAAATACATCATCTTAAGGATGGAATGACAAACCTATAAAAATACTGATTTTCATATTAATATATAATTCAATGGGATTCCAATTAAAAAAAAAAACAGAATTTGGGGGAGGGGCAAATGTGAAATGATTTTTAAGATACAACTTTTAAAATGGACAAAGTAGAAAATTTATCAACCAGATTATTAACACACACTACAAAGACATAATAATAAAAATATGGTACTAACAATTTGACCAATGACCTAGAACAAGGAGGACATAAACAGGCCCATACATGTGGGAATAAGGTGTATGATAGATAAGGTATTACAAAAAGAAGAGAAAGGATGGATTATTTAGCAGATGGTACTGAAAAATCCAGTTCACTATACCACAAAAAATAAAGCTGCATCTTTCTACAATTTATAAAAAATAATATTCAAGGGGTGTCTGGGTGGCTCAGTCATTGAGCATTGGTCTTCAGCTCAGGTCATGATCCCAGTGTCCTGGGATAGAGCCCCATATCGGGCTCCCTAATCAACGGGAAGCCTGCTTCTCCCTCTCCAGCCCCCTGTGCTTGTGTTCCCTCTCTGTCATAAATAAATAAAATCTTAAAAATAGAGATTATTAACAATAAAATTCTTTTTAAAAATATTTGAAGGTATTAAAGCCTTATATGTGACAGGTAAAATTATAAAGCTAAGAAAATACTTTTTAAAAATAGTTCTTTTTTTGGGGGAGGCACCTGGGTGGCTCAGTGGGTTAAAGCCTCTGCCTTCGGCTCAGGTCATGATCCCAGGGTCCTGGGATCGAGCCCCACATTGGGCTCTCTGCTCAGCAGGAAGCCTGCTTTCTTCTCTCTGCCTGCCTCTCTGCTTACTTGTGATCTGTCAAATAAATGAATAAAATCTTAAAAAAAATAAAATATTTCTTTTTTATAATTTGAGAGAGAGAAAGAGCAAGAGAGCACAAGCAGGGTAAAGGGTAGAGGGAGAAGCAGCCTTCCAGCCAAGCAGAGAGCTCAATGCAGGACTTGATCCCAAAACTCCAGGATCATGACCTGAGCCAAAGGCAGACACCCAACTGACTGAGCCACCAATGTACCCAGAAAGCTAAGAAAATACTTAAGAACATCTTTGTGAACTGTGGTAAAGAAGGATTTCTTTTAGGAAGACCCAAAACCCACCAACCATTAAGTGAAAAACTAATTGGACTTGACTTTAACAAAATTAAAGATTTCTGTTCAACAAAAGGCCCACAGACAAAACAGAGCAGTGGCAGCTTAAAAGATTTCTAGTATCTAAAACCTACAAGGGGTTATTACCGAGAACTTCTACTAATCAGAGGAGAAACCCAGAAAAACCAGTTGAAAAACAGCCAAACAATGTGAACAGGTAAATCATAGAAAAGAACGAATGAATGACAAAAATGCTGCACCTCACAAGTAACCAAGGAAGGGCAATTAAAATGAGAAACATTTCACATACATGAGAACCTCAAAAATTAGCAAGTCAGAACATCAAGTTCTCAGGAGATGTGAGGTGGCTGAAATATGGAACATTGTTGCAGAAGTGTGAAGTTCGATAGCCACTCTGGGAGGAACCTGGCAATAGAAATTAAGTAGCCTCTCTACACACACATACACGGATCCCACTGAATATACAATTCAGAGAAACTGAAAACCAGATCCATAGGGAGATAAAACCAAGGTATTCCTGTTTAGGGTGGCAAGAAGTTGGAAACCATCACTAGGGGTGCCAATTATTACCAGACGCTCTTTTAGCAACAATCCACCCTCTCTACTGGGCATGATGATACTGGGACTGGGACTCGATAACTCTAATTCTTCCTTGTCAAATGGCTTCCTACTGGCTTCCATTAGTAGAACTTACCAGGAAGGAGACTGTACGGAAGAACAAGGGAAATCTTCATTCCTGTTCTGCTTCCTGCTCATGTAGTTGATATAAGAGAAGAGTGATAGGAGATGAAGGATTCTGCTGAACATGTCAAACTGGAAGTGATAGTGGATACCCAAGAGGACACAAAAGGCTTAAGCATTGCATATGGTCATTTCTCTACTAAGACCTCTCCTGTACACCTCTTCTCTGCTAAGTTCTAAAAACCAGAAAGTAACTATTAGGTAGGGAAGGGAAAGACAGTTCTATCACTTTCTAAGGTGCTATCTTTCTTATCAGTCTAAAATGCATACGCAATCGTGTCTCTCCTCTAAAACCTCTGGATGGCTTCAGAAAGTCCTTGGGGGTATAAAAGTCTAACTGCTTACTAGAACCTACCAGGTGTTGTATAAATCTGGCCTCCTCCTACCTTTCAGTATCACAAAACCCACTCCACCATTCACTGTCTCTTCCAAGAATCAAGCCTATTTATACAAGGCCATACTGGCCCTCTTCCCAGCCTCATGGCTTTCTTCCCTCATCCCCATCCTTCCTTTACCTAGATGACTCCTACTCACCCTCTAGTTCTCTCATCAGAGCGTTCTGCTTCATGGAAGATGGATTAGCCATACTTTTCCCTTTTCCTCCTGCTCTGTAAAACCAACAACTCTGGACATTATAGGTGAAGTAAACCTATGACAATTCAAGGTAGAGAGAAAGCAGCAGACTGCCTAGGGATTTTGAGACTAGAGGAAAAACAATGTTAAGTTGCCTGGGTTTTCTTTGGCCTTCTATATTCCAGACTTAGAACTAAAGAAGTTGGCAGCTAGAAATGCAAATGAGCACAAACACCAACCAAAGCCTGGTCAATCTTGCCAAAAGGCCAAGAAAGGGGTAGCCTAACAAGACAGAAAACCTTCAGACAACCACTCTACTCCAGCAAAGCACTCCAGAAAGAAGGGGAAAAAAAAAAAAAAAAAGAAGGAGCTTAACTCCCACCCATGCCATCAAAGGTCCAGTAGGAAACCAGGACTGTCAGTGGAGACCACTTGGATAATTCTTGACTTCACCTCCTCACCCCACCCTAACAGTAATGAAGTACCCTTCCCTGCCCATAGGAGTGAAGGCCAAGTGAGGAACCTCAACTTGTACCCCCACCTGGCAGTAACAAAGGTGGAGAACACCCTCCTTTTTCCTGCTAGAGTGGGATCAAGAGCAGCCAGACAAAACAGAAGGCTTCAAAAAGACCCAAAGATGCAGAGGAAGCATGCTGGGCCCATGAATAAGACCCAGAGTCTCATAATCCCACAAATGTCCACATTTCAACTGAAAATTACCTGGAGAATCTCAAACCGAATAGTCGAAAATAGTCATTCAGCAGATAGTAACAAGATGAGACAAAAGTTAGAATTATCTGACGAACTTTTAAAGGAGCTGCTGTAAAAATGCTTCAATGAGCAATTAAGAACAGACCGGAAACACGAAATACAAAGTTCCAGTAAAGCAACAGAATATATAAAGAAAAACCAAATGGAAAATTTAAAACTGAAAAAATACAACAATCAAGATAAAAGCTCAACAGAGGGCACCTGGGTGGCTCAGTGGGTTAAAGCCTCTGCCTTCAGATCAGGTCATGATCCTAGGGTCCTGGGATCGAGCCCTGAATCCGGGCTCTCTGCTCAGCAGGGAGCCTGCTTCCCTTCCTTTCTCTCTGCCTGCCTCTCTGCCTACTTGTGGTTCCTGTCTGTCAAATAAAATCTTTTAAAAAAATAAAAATTAAAAAATAAAAGCTCAACAGATAGACTCAAGAGCAGAATGGAAGGGACAGAGGAAATAATGAACTAGAAGATTAGAAATTGCTCAATCAACACAGAAAATATTTAAAAAATAGGGCCTCAGAGATCTGTGGGACTATAATTAAACATCTAACATTGATATCATTGGAATCTCAGAGAAGAGAAACAGGGCAGAGCTGACAAAGTATTCAGAAAAATAACAGCTAAAATCTTCCCAAATTTGGCAAAAGACATAAGCCTGAAGATTCAAGAAGGTTAGTAAATTCCAAACAGCATAAACCCATAGATATCCATGCCAAGACCCACTACAGTCAAATTTCTAAAAGGTAATCTGGTTAGGTCTCCATTAGCTCCTAATTATCCTTCAGCACTGTTAAAATTAGGATCTCCTGGGGCGCCTGGGTGGCTCAGTGGGTTAAAGCCTCTGCCTTTGGCTCAGGTCATGATCCCAGGGTCCTGGGATCGAGCCCCACATCGGGATCTCTGCTCAGCGGGGAGCCTGCTTCCCCTTCTCTCTCTGCCTGCCTCTCTGCCTACTTGTGATCTCTGTCAAATAAATAAAATCTTTAAAAAAAAAAATTGGGATCTCCTAATAGGCTGTCTTACTGCACACTGTCCTTTTCGTCCACAAGACCCATTGCATTTATAATTACTTGTTCAATACTCATCTTCCCCACTAACCTATAAATTCATGAGGGCAGGGATTTGGCCACTGTTACATCCAAAGCACTCAAAGTGCCTACCAGACAAAATTTTGTCCATTAGTTTATATCCAAAGTATATAAAAAACTTCTACAAGGAAAAAAACTTCTACACAAAGGAAAAAAAATCCAATTTAAAAAATGGGCAAGGTCGGGGCACCTGGGTGGCTCAGTTGGTCAAGCAGCCAACTCTTGATTTCAGCTCGGGTTATGATCTCAGGATCCTAGGATCAAGCCCTGCATTGGGATCCTAGCTCAGCTGGGAGTCTGCTTCAGGATTCTCTCCCCCTCTCCCTCTGCCCCTCCCCGTGTGTGCGCGCTCTAAAATAAATCTTTAAAAACAAATGGACGGAAGACATGAATAGACATTTCCCCAAAGAGGTCATACATCGGGCCAACACACACATAAAAGATGCTCAACATCACTCATCAGGGAAACACAAATGAAAACCACAATGAGGTATCACCTCACCTCTGTCAGAATGGTCAAAATCACAAGAAACAAGTGTTGGTCCAGATGTGGAGTAAAAGGAACTCATGTGCACTGGTTGGTGCACACTGGTGCAGCCACTGAAAAACCTGGAAGTTGCCTCAAAAAATTAAAAATAGAACTACCACAGGATCCAGTAATTGCACTACTGGGTATTTACCCAAAGAAAACAAGAACACTAAACTAGAAGGATATATGCACCTCTGTGTTTACTGCAGCATTGTTTACAATAGCCCAATTATGGAAGCAGCCCAAGGTCCAGGATAGATGAATACAGAGGTTGTATATACACACAATGGAATATTATTTGGCCATAAAAAAGAATGAAATCTTGCCATTTGCAAACATGCAAATACTGTATGATTTCACTCATATTCGGAATATATGGAATTTAAGAAACAAACACAAAAAAATGATGAAAAGGGGTGCCTGGGTGGCTCAGTGGGTTAAAGCCTCTGCTTTCGGCTCAGGTCATGATCCCAGGGTCCTGGGATCGAGCCCCGAATCGGGCTCTCTGCTCAGCGGGGAGCCTGCTTCCTCCTCTCTCTCTACCTGCTTGTGATCTGTCTGTCAAGTAAATAAATAAAATCTTTAAAAAAAAAAAAAAATGAAAAAAGGACAAACCAAACAGACTCAACTACAGAAAACAAACTGATGGTTACCAAAGGGACGGGGATGCAGCAATGGATGAAATAGGTGGTGGGAATTAAAAATACACTTATCTTGATGAGCACGTAGTAATATATAGCATTGGTGAATCCCTATATTATACACCAGAAACTAAAGTAACACCATGTGTTAAGTATCCTGGAATTAAATTTTTACGAAATTGCCCCATTAATGTTTGTTAAATGAACAAATGATTACTCTTCAAAAAGTCCTCTCCTACCTACAAATCTATTTTGTCCTTTTCTGAAAACTGTTCCAGAGACTTCTCTCTTAATCACCTCTAATTGCTTCCAGGTGGCCTGTGCTTACCTTATTAGTCTGAAGAATTCTTGCATGAAATGCAGCTGGCCAGGCATGAAGCAATAGGTAAGCATAGGAGCGAATCGCATAAACTGGGGAATATTCCCAAGTCTGAAACCCCTTCCCATAGATGAGGTAGTGTGTCTGAAAATAAAAAACAGATTCAGGGTTAAATTGACCAAAAATCCTTGCTAAGCAAATACAGGTGAAGTTTCCAAGCAAAAAAATTACTAAGACAAAGGTACACAGAAATGCTGAAATTCTCAACAAGATTTGCAATCAATAGATAAGAATCAAAATGATCCAATACTAATATTAGGACATTATAATTTCTCCAAGATTATTGTTTGGTCAATGTCAAAAGTTTGAATTTTACCCTCTATTTTTTTTTTTTTAAATACTCATTAGCCAAGGAATACCTGGGTGGCTCAGTCAGTTAAACATCTACCTTTGGCGCAGATCATAAACCTCCTGGTCCTGGGATCAGGAGCCCGAATCAGGCTTCCTGCTTAGCAGGGAGTCTGATTCTCTCTCTTTTTCTCTCTCCTTCCCCACCACTCATTCTCCCTCTCAAGTAAATAAAATACTCATTAGCCCAGAGAAACTCTAAACCTTAGCATTTTCGTTAAACTACCTATGTTAAGCATTTTTTAATGCAAAATGGGATCAGAATATTTCACCTCTGAATTCTCTGTAATAGGAAGTCAGCAAACATATACATATATTTATACATATATATATATATATACATATATATGTATAAATCACGAAATAGCAGTACAAGCGTACCATTTAATAACATTTTATTTTAGCAATCAGAAAAAAAGAGCCAAGAAAGTTGAAAGAAAGTAGTCACCTCCGAACCATGAGAGACTGTGGACTCTGAGAAACAAACTGAGGGTTTTGGAGGGGAGGGGGTCGGGGGTTAGGTGAGCCTGGTGGTGGGTATTAAGGAGGGCACGTATTGCATGGAGCACTCGGTGTGATGCATAAACGGATCTTGGAACACTGAAAAAATAAAATAAAGTTTAAAAAAAAGAAAAAGAAAGTAGTCACCTCTAGGGACTAGGATTTAGCTATGAGAAGTAGAACAGAGTTACGGTTTTCCCTTTAAGTTTTGTAGTAGTTGGTAACTTTAAAAACTATCTCAAAGTATTATTTTGATTTAAAATGAATTTACAAAAGTTACAGATCACATCTTTTTTGTAAAAAGCCCCATTTTCCCATGGCCTTCAAGGCAGGGAAGCTTAGAATACAAAAGTGTAAATCAAGTTGTTTTACTATCAGCCACAGTTGTATATTATTTGTATCCTGATTGGCAACAAGGTCCCAAGCAGTGAAATCAAGCGGGGGGGGGAATGAAAACTAAAGAAATCACCTACTGGTTCCCAGTAGTTGAAGGTTTCATCACAGTCAGAGATGTTGCTCAGGAGAGCAGCACATAACCTTGCTGAGAGCAGACACTTGAAAGCAGTAGATCCTTCGGGTGCCCAAACTTGTCCTGCTTTGTTCCCAGATAACCTGCTCAGAAGCAAAGGGAGGATATGTCAGGAAGACCTACTAACTAGAAGGCGGTTCAGAGCAGAAACGGCAAGAATGCCAAGGACATCAAAGCACGCTTAGGTAATAAACCTCAAAAGTTAGTTGTTCTAAGTAGAACACTGAAGGGACGAAGACCTGAATTAATCTTACTTTCCACTTCCTGCTCTTAATGCGTAAGCTCATTCATACACTTTAACTCAATGCCGCGATGACACTCTTTGAAGGCCACAGAGCTCTCCCCTTTTGAAGGCCACAGAGCTCTCCCCTTTTTCTTTCTTCTCTTAACAAGGTCATTACTTTCCACATCTTTATTCATTCCCCCACTTGTTCAAATGCACAGAGGCCTAATTTGTGCAAAGTGCATAACCCCCTCCATTTCCGTACGTTGACGGGTCCTTTAATGCGGTCCTAAACCCGCAGTGCCTGGGCTTGGGGAGAGAGACGGTTGCAGGTGCTGGAGGCTGTGGGGCCCACACTGAAGAATAAGGGGTTAGGACTTTGCAGGCAATGAAGGAAACTGAGGCAGACTGCCAGGAAAGGTCTGCTCTTTGCTCTTGCCAGCGTCTCCCGCTGAGGCTCGGCCAACTCAAACCGCACGACACCATCCCGCTCTGGGCCTGGGCCAGCAGCCTCGGAGCCTCCCTCCAGGCTTTCTTCCCGAGAAACACGGGACGCAGGATGGGGGACCCAGGGCGGGGCGAAGACCGGACGTGACCCGTCCAGGAAGAGCACAGGTACCCGGGAGAACCAGGCTGGACCCGCGCCTCCGGGGGAGACCCTCGGGGCCAGCCCCGCGCCGCCCGGCCGCCACGCCCCCGCCGCGCCCGCACACCTACTCTGTCCGCGGCTCCGCGCCGCTCGCCTCACGGCTGCACAGCAGCTCCCGCAGCTTGTCCGCGGCCGAGACCGTGTCCCCGCCGCTGCTCCCGCTCCCCTTCAGGCGCTGACGAGCCCCTCGGCTCGCCATGGCACGCATGGAGAAGAGGTACAACCCCGCACCCTACGAAAACGGTGAGCGCGGAGACATAGCTTTGGCTGGCAACGGTGTCCGCCGAGGGACAAAAGACCTTGACATGCGCAGAAAAGACTAAATTATAGTGTTCTTGGGCCAATTGGGGCAAATCCCGAAGTAGAGAGTAAGACCTGAGATTTGACCTTCACCACCAGTTATCCCTTCCACACATTTGTAATTCTGGGCATTCCGCCCTCCGTCCCACACTCTTCAGCACAAATGGAAAGTGGCTAACCACCTCGACCTCGTGGGCAGAGGTATTTATCCAGTTAAAGATAACAGCACAGGGGCGCCTGGGTGGCTCAGTGGGTTAAAGCCTCTGCCTTCAGCTCAGGTCATGATCCCAGGGTCCTGGGATCGAGCCCCGCATCGGGCTCTCTGCTCAGCAGGGAGCTTGCTTTCCTCTCTCTCTCTGCTGCCTCTTTGCCTACTTGTGATCTCTGTCTGTAAAATAAATAAAATCTTTAAAAAAAAAAAAAAAAAGATAACAGCACAGCTGCAGAGGAAAGGGGAGGTCCTTGAAAGGTCACTACACCTTGACCTCTGTCTTTTAGGGACCGGGATAGAAACAGCGCGTAGCTAATTAACTGCTTCAGAAAGACAAAGCTGTAACGGCAGAATATAGAATAAGAAAAATGAAAGCCTGAAGAAATTCTGTGCAACAAATCAACCATACACCTGGCACTGCCATTGCTAATAGCAGTTCGATAAGCATTTTACACACTTTATCCTTTTTAAATGCGATACAACCACCTTGTTCTTATCAATAAACAAACTGAGGACCAAGGTTGCATAGCCAGGAAATGGTGGAGCCCTGTTCCAGCTCAGGTCTGTCTTATTAGGAAGCCCATGTTTTTTCCACAAGGAGATCAGGAGGAAACACCTGATGTCATCACAGGTGCTAGCACACCTCTGACTCCCAGGGGTTATTCATCTGTTCCTGATTCTCTGCCCACTTCCCCAGTCCCAGAGTTCTGTCCCATCCTGTGGAGCTCTAGCAGTGGCTGAAGCATTTGTACAGGGAGTGCTGAAATGGGCCTTACAAGAAATGTTAAAAGGACTTATGTAAAGGGGGGTGGCAGTAAGTAGAAGACAGCTACAGAAGGAAAAAATTTCATGAGTAAAAGCTAACATAAAGGTAGTAATCACTTATAAAGCTAGGATGGAAGTTAAGAGACAAAAGTAGTAAAATCAATTATATCTAAAAGATTAAAGGGACCCACAAAATGAAAAGATGTAAAATAGAACAACATATACATAAAACATGTAAAAATGGGAGTAAAAATGAAGTTCTTTTAGGTGTTCAAACTTAAATGACCATCACCTAAATATACACTGCTATACACTAGAATGCTATTTAGAGGGAGTGATGAACTTGATAGGATCCCAGATTATTATTTTGTGCTAAAAATTCACAAATACTGGGGCACCTGGGTGGCTCAGTCGTTAAGCCTCTGCCTTCGGCTCAGGTCATGATCCCAGAGTCCTGGGATCGAGCCCCGCATCGGGCTCTCTCCTCAGCAGGAAGCCTGCTTCTCCCTCTCCCACTCCCCCTGCTTGTGTTCCCTATCTGGCTGTGTCTCTCTCTGTCAAATAATAAATAAAATCTTTTTTTTAAGACTTTATTTATTTATTTGACAGATAGAGATCACAAGTAGGCAGAGAGGCAGGCAGAGAGAGAAAGGAGGAAGCGGGCTCTCCACAGAGCGGAGCCTGGGTGGCTCAGTGGGTTAAGCCTCTGCCTTTGGCTCAG